TTAAAAGTTTGGATATTTTGTTTTGGTTGGGTTTAGTTTGACAATAGGGGTCTTTCTCAGTAGCCCAGGCTGGCCTTTGAACACATAATCCTCCTGTCTTCAACCTACGTTAGTACTGGTCTAACAGCATGCACCACGTATAACTAGCTAAAAAGTTTAGTTTTTAATATGTTGTATTCAGAATTTCAATAAACAGTTGTTCCAAGTTGAAGTTTACAACATAATTGTTAAAAATGAGATTTCTTTATTCTGATTCATTTCAGATAATTCTTAATTCTTTGTTTCAACAAATATTGATTGATTGATATTGTACTTTCTATGACCAGGTCTTCTGGGTGAAAAAATTCTACTCCTGTGGTGTTCACAGACTACTTAAAAGATCTAGATGATGATAATAAACATATATTAAATGATTACAGGGTGTCAGAATGTTAATAAAATGGCTATAGAAAATAGAAAAGGAATAGGGTAGGAAAATAAGGAGATCTGGGGGTGGGGTGGGATAGAAAGTGTCAGGTTAAATATGGTGGCCATTGGTAAAATCCATTGATAGTGTGGATAGATGACATTTGAAAAAAATGGACTTGAAGTTGATGAGGGGAGTTAGCAATATGATACTGCTGAAAAAAAAAAAAAAAAAGATGTACAGGAAAAAGAAAGCCAGAAGCAAGTGCCTGAGACAGTCACATTATCCTATGCTTAAGGAATTCACAGGAGCAAGTAGTTTTGGGCAGAGTGACTACAGGGGAATTGTAAGTGAGAATTGGTCAAATTATGTAGGGCCATATCTATCAATTGGTGAGATGCGGAAACCAATTGAATGATTTTGATCAGAAGGGTGAACATGATCTAGCTTTTAAAAGCATTTGGCTCTGGCTGCTATGCTCAGAATAGATTACCCAAGACAACTTAGTTGATGGGACTTGTGAAAGGAGTGGCATTAATTATGTGCAGCCATTTCTAGCAAGAGCTAACAGTAAGTCAGAGAGCAGTAGTAGATGTGCTAAGAAGTCAGATTCTGTGATGTGTTTTGGAACAGTGGAAGAAAACAGTACTTCCTGAAATATGTTTATGGTGAAGTGGGAGAGAAAAGTTTTTGTCTGACACAATTATAGTATAGAATTGCTATCAATGGAGATAGAGACTGTGTGAATGGAACAGAATGGGGAAGGGAAACTGGAAGTAGTTTGTTTTTGCCATTGTTTAATTTGTGGACATCTTAGACTTTCCCAGTGGACATGAGAGTTGAGCAGTGTTGGATAATAAGGTCTTGAACTCCAAAGTACGAGTTCTAAGCTAACACTTCCATAGCAGGCATGTAGCATGTAAATTTGTATTATAAGTAAATGTAAACTATAACAACTTTATACATTTATTCTTTCAAAATGTCTTCGAAATTGTGATTTTATTAACATGTTATTTGTTCTACTAAGAAGGCTATTTTCCTATTTTGAGAATTTATTCAACTAACACATCACTTAAATTTATTTTAGATTTTGAACTCATTATTTATTTTTCAAATGCTATTTAGCAAGCCAGTAAAATAAAATTATTTGTGTTGTTGAACACCAAGCCAAAAGCATAAAAACTCTTGAAAATGGCAAGCATTGTTGAAAGATGATTTTGTAAATCTCTTTATCACATAAATAAATTAAATAGTTTTTTGTATTCTATTCCTGGTTAGGAAACTCAACAATGGAAATGAAAAATGAGAGGGTCTGTGAACTTGTTAAAGTGTTTGGACTTAATTTATTAAAAGTCACTTACATTTCTAGGTTTATTTTTTCTGTCTATTTTGTTAATGTAGGAAGTTGAATTGATGATTGTTTCTTATCTATTATATTTTGTGCTGACTTACATACCTGATAAATAAATAATGCTTATTTTTAGTTTAGTGATGCTGGTGTAGAAAAATCATTGTGTTCTTTCAGACATTAATTGACTTTTTAGAAGGTTGTGTTCAAGATCCTTATTGAAAAAGGCTGTTTCATTTGTTCACTCTGGTTAGAAAAAGGAAGAACAGTGTCTTCATGCCTGAAGCCTGGAATGTTGGACCAGGGAAGTATTACCAAACTTCAAGGAACAATACAAAAAAGGAAGAGAAAGGGGAAAAAAAGGGTGAAGATAAGTTGGAAAACATTGTATCTGTAAAATCATAAATCTTTTCTCTTTTACATCTCCAAGTTTTTTTTTCCAAATGTTTCCTAAAAATTACTTACTCTTTTTCATTTCTACTCCTGACTCATCCTTTTTTCACTTGCTCTCAGGGGGTTGAAATTAAAATGGCTAGCCCATTTGATTTGTGAAACTTAAACAAAAACCAACATACAGAATATAAAATCATGACAAATTTAGAGCCTCATGAGAATGTGACTGTGTATTTAAACATATGATAAGGTTAATGTTTTGAATAGTACATATGCGTAGTTTCAATGATTATTTATTTCCAATTGGGCAAATTTATAAATTCTCACTAGCTTGACCCTCTGACAATCCACCAAGTTATTGCTTGCATTTTAAGATCTTGGAAACATAAGGAAGGTTAAATTTCTTACCCTGAAATTATGCTTACATGTCTCTCAATACACAGTTTATTTCTCACACCAGTATATGCTATTTCAGAGCATGAGTCAAAAAATGTAACTTTAAAGTGTTTGTTTTCTAATGATAAGTTTTGACTAATTTAAATTTATAGCAATATTATAAATATGTTCTTTATTTCAATAAAATGTGTGCCACATCAAAAAAATAAAAGCCAGAATGTAATTTCTAGCCCTACCGGTGGAATCATATAACTTATTATACAAATAAAAAAGTTTAGCAGATAGTCTAATTAATATGTAAAATGTACAAAAAAACTTTTGAAAACATCCCTAAAAACAACCTTCAACATCTTTTTAGGGTGGAGTCAAATTAAACTACTCTTGTGTTTCCACCCTCTTTGACAAGTTAATAGCACACATGAACCGCCCTTTTATAGGCTAATAGGAATTTCACCCTGTTCAGAATACGGAAAATATTCTGTAGGGCAGACTAAAACCTTGACTTAATGGAGAAATGTATTTATAAGTTGCAAAAGACTAGAGGATATGGTTCCGCCACTCCCTTTTTTTAAAATGATGCTGAAAGCATATCAAGACTTGGTCCTGCTAGGACATCTTCTTTACAAACTAAATAGTTACTTAAAAAACATTTAAATTCTTTATTTAAATATAAATTATTTAGCTTGATTTGATAAAAAGTCGTTGTTAAGCATAGTTTCAAACCATTTTACCTATTGGAAGATACATTTAGTGTTATCTCAATACAGAATTAATATCAGAGTTAGAAAGCATTAATATTAAAACGTAGCATTTTCCGTTATTTTTATTTTAAATATACTTGATAAAAAATGTAATTTAACAAAATATATTGAGATATGAATTCTAATAGCTTCTGGAGCCATGGTCAAGCCAGTTAAAATGAAATTTTGAGAAAAATCTATATATTCATACATGAGCGAATAATTTTCAAATTACTTAATTTGATGCCATTTCTTTTTTTAATGTGCCATAAAAATGAATATCTTGAAAATGTAAGATCTTTTGATTTGAAAGATAGCCAGGGGCTTACATAGAGTCATTTTACTCATCACATAGATTATTTAGTTCTTTGTCAAATATCCGGGCCTTCACTGTAGTTTGGAATTAGCACTTAAGAGCTAAAAACCACCACATTTGACTGGAAACAACATTCCAACCTAATAGTAGCAATTGGATTTCCTAGAAGGCTGAGGATTAGGATCCATGTTCAGGTGTTATATAGCACATGTTAACATATTTTAGTATGGTAAAGAAAAAATTAGTCCCTTGGTAGAGAACATCTTAAGGTCTTCACTGAGATAGAGGGAATTTGGATTGCAAGGTTCAGCACATTTCTTTTATCATTTTTAGTTTGTTATTCGTTGAATAAATAGCACGTTGTGGCGAAGCAAGTTAAGTTTACATAAAAAGAAAAATGAAGGCAAAACTTTCCAATGGTATTTTGAAGCATTCATATATAAACCACCATAAATATATTTTTAAAATGGAAAAAAAAAGTTTGGAGTCTTTAAATTGATGTAGTATAAATATTTCCAGTCAAATTGTTTGTTACTTCCAGTCATATTATCTTGAAACTCCTATTTCTAGGCGTATTAGTTTAAAATTTTTGATTAGGAATAGTTGTATTCTTTGCTGGTATTAGGAAAAAACCATAATGGACTATGGGTAGATTTCATTCTTAATTAAAACTATATAACAGGAAAAACTACCGACGATCTGTTTTCAGCCTCTATCCCTATATAAGACAGTCAAAACAGGGATTGTGGGAGAATGAGAAATTCCAAAGCTCAGGTAAGTCATTGGCAGGGCGTAAAACTTCACCTTGGGTATCATAGCTTTAGCATGTAAGGCCAGCACATGCCCAATTTTAATGTAAAACAAGCAATGGGTTTTATTGCTTAATTCAGTTACAACAGTGGTCACAATCTAAAGTGTCTTGTCTTCATTTAGAGCACTGTTCATTGATTCAATTGTATCAATATGTCTTTTAATGGTCCCAACTTTGGACATGAACATTCTTTTCATGCCAGGAATGATTTAATTAGCTTAATGAAATGCCAAAGTAAGGACATAATTCTTTTCAAGAGAATAAACTTTTATAATAACTTGAAAAACTTTGAAGTAATTACTCTTATTGATCAATCTAGGAGGATCATTTTTAAAGGTAAATGTTGGATGATGTAAAAAATAAAGGTTTATGGCACAATTTTGATGCAGTGGATAATTCTAATTTTCTCTTTTTCCTCCCCCCCCTCCTTTTTTTTTTGGCTAGGGCCCAATAGGTCAAAAACTGCAGGATATGGCTTGCTAATTTGAGAGTGTTGATGAGGCTTCCTTTCATTGCCAGACATCTTGGTTTCACCTTCCAAGACCCAGTTAGCTCCAGGGCTTCCTGAACACTGAAATTAATAGCGGCAGATGAAGGTAAGTATTTAAGATACTCTGGAGCCACAAAAAAGCACTTGGACATAGAGCATAAATCGGTCCTTAGAAAGACTCTTCTGTCTTAGAATTTTGCTGCTGCAAATATTTAATCTTTTTATACACAGTATTCTCTAAACACAGGGCTCCCTACGGGTAAAGTGGGAGTCGATTCTAACTTTATCTTTTAAGACTTGGGCCAAAGAATGCATAAACTTAATAAACCAACTCTAAATTCTGGTTTGATTACACTTTATGGAGTTAGAGTAGCCCTATAAATACATCATCCAGCATTGAAAAAATTGAGTCTAAAAACAGTGGTAAAAATGCTTACTTTGAGATTTATTTTAAGCAGCGTCCTATTCTATTTGGATTTAAATAAAAAGAAGTAAATCACTTGGCAGTCACATTTTCTGCTTCTTAGGCGTTTCCTTGTTTCCCTTTCAGTCCTTGGGTCATGGCCTATGCTTTCTGACAGAAATGTTCATGTAGAATAATTCAATTTTACCTTTATTACTTAATTTATACAAAATAATCTTCAAATTAATAACATCTTAAACTTCACACTACTTAGACTTTTAAATGAAACCCATTCCACCATTTGAATATTTTGTTGCTCCAATTCTTGGGGAGGAGAGAGAAGAGAGAGAGAGAAAGAGATGAAGGGGAGAGGAGAAGGAGGAGGGGGGAGAATGAGGGGAGGGAAAAAGGAAAGGAAAGAAAGATGTGTATTTTAATTGCATTGACTTCGATTACTCTTGGGTCCGGTCCACTTTCAGGAAAGAAGCTTCCATAACGTGTGTGTAATCCATAATTCATTTATTTAATTATTTTTTATTGTAGAAGTAAATGCGAATATTTAAGAGGCACAATTAAATTTGATTTTATAAAATCTGATTTAAGGCTAGAACATATCAGTTCCAAATAGACCCTGTAGCCATGAGCTCTAAAACCTCAGAGAGCAAGATTCCCACTTAGAGATTTGATTTGATGCCTTACTGTTGCTCTCTCTTCAGCCTTGAAGTCTTCTGCACTATCCACTGTGTGGAGGAGATAGTTGGTTGCTTACTTGTTTTCAGGTTTTACTGACCATTGGTAAACATTAGTTAAAAAGTAGCCTTACTATATGTGTCTTGGGTATTGTTTTTGAAAGTTGTCCTTATTTCACATTTTACAGAGTTTTTGGGACATTTAGAAATGAATCAAAATTGGAGACCTAGCCTCATAGTCTCACATGAGTCATTCGGTTTGAAATTTTGGCTTGAAAAATTTTCTGTTCTGACTTAAACAATTTTCTGCTCCCACATGTAGTAAATATTTAAGTATATAGGAATTGTTTGAACCCCCTCAAATGACTTATGGAATTTTAGATAAGATTTTAGTATTGCTGCTAATATTATATGGTGGCTTAATAATCTGTAGTGTCAGTTTTATTTTGACAAACGATTTTAAGTTAGAAGTTTTTTGCCACTAGTACTTTTAAAAACAATCAAATCATTTCATTTATTTCAACAAGTATTTATTATTAGAACATAAAATTGACTATCAGTATCAAGAACATCTTGTAGTCTTGGTTTTCTGCATGTTACTTATATTTAATACAATTGATTTGGCTTTTTTTTAGGAAAAAGTCAATTACCTTCTTCAGCAAATAAATTTGGAACTTTTTAAATTCGTCTAATGACTCATAACAATTTATCTCAGGTAAAGTAACCACCTCTAGGAAAACTATTTCCAAAGACCTACTCTGACCAGTTTGTCAGCAATAATTTTCATTCACAAAGTGTTGACATTTTGATGACCAAATAATAATCTGTCTTAAATGATCTCATGAGTATTTGTTTGAAAGGATTGCACTATTGGGTCAAGTAAGAAATATTTGAGCTTACCAAAGTGAAGCCTGATCTTGAAAAAGCACAAGTTGAACTAATGGAAGTGTTCAAATGGGTCTTTTTGAAAAATCTCTTTGAGGACTGTATGTGTGACTATATGGGTGGTAGATCAAGTGTAGAGTGGTTTGCCTAGCTTGCCTACGATGCGGGAGGCCTTTGCGTTCAATAACCCAGTACCCACAATAAACTCTTTGAAATATGCATTTTTAGATGAAATAAAATATTCCTTACAAAAATGCTAAAGTAATAAGAAAACAGCTCCAGTAATTATCACCAAGTCTAGAATTGTCATCCATCTGTTTCACTGCACCAATAAAAGAAGTAGAAAGCATTACAAAGGGCCCCTCAAAAGTCCAGCATACACGTTCTCTTCCCTGCTTCCAGTCTTGAGTTTTTTAATACCACATGTTAAATTTTTTTCCTCAAATATGTCAACATTTTACAATTTTTATCACTTGTGTGTTGATAATTTAGGTCTTCCAGATTACAGAATTTAATTAATTTTATTTTGAATTATGACCATTGATTCAGAATCACCTTGTTATGTTGTGCCTAGTAATTGATAGAAATTATTTGAATAATTAGCATGAAATATTCAAATGGGAGGCTTACTTTCCTTCGTAGTAACTATTTTTCTCTTGTAATGAAAAAAAGGATAGTAGGGTATTAGATTTGCTTCATGTTTTACTTTGCTAATGTAGTGATGTCTTTAGCTTGTGGATAAAATATGAGAAGGCAATCAATTTTTCAAGTTTTTCTACTCCACTGAATTTTATTGTGTTTAAAAGCATTTTAAAATAATTACATGGGTACGATTCCTTAAAAACAAACATTTAGTAACAGCAAATTGATACCAACCATTGCTCTTTAAAAGGTTTTTAATGTTTGGATTGTCTTCCCCTTTTCAGTGGAAGGCAACTGCATTTCCTCCTTCTGCGGAAGGTCCATTCATCATGGGAGCTGATGAAGCCCTTTTTGAAAGTGAACTGGGACTTGGAGAATTAGCAGGGCCTTACAGTTGGCCAAGGAAGCAGACTCACTAGCTATTGATGTTAAGTGGTAAGGCTTTATTTTTCATGTTTGTACTTCTACCCCTTTATTATTTAGAGTTTATATACCATTTGGTACTCTGTTTAACAGCTACCCGGTGATTATCATAAAATTCTTTATTAATTTGTATAAGCAAAGCTTAGAATACTTTTACTCTTGTCAACTCCACTCTCCTTACATACTGGGCCTCATCTCCTTACTCTTGTGTCCTTCCCTGATATTCCTGGTTTTTTTTCTACACTATTTGTTTGTTCTCCATTTTTTATGTTCACTTCTGCCTTTTTTCTAATGTATTTACAACAAAGACAATCCAAATTACCCAGTTTATCATGGCTAGACAGAATTTCCCATTAGATACTTGTTGTTCTTTTCTCTTTTAAACCACAAAAAGACTTTTATCCAGTATCCAGTGGAACTTAGTCTTCTCTCTTAGCAGAGAGCGTATTCTGTTTTTCATCCTTCTCTCTGAGAACGGTAGTGGAGTTTAATTGCAGGCCTGCACTGCTAGGCAGGTACTTACCACCTCCAGTCATGGCCCCCAAGCCCTTTTTGTTTTTGATTTATTTTTTTGAGATCATGCGTCTAGCGCTATGGCTGGCCTGGACTGTAATGTCTTCCTTATGTTTTCTCACACAGCTAGGGTGACAGGTATGCACCATCCATGCACCAGGTTTTTTATTTTGGTCAGATGGAGGTCTCCCCAAACTTTTCTGGCCTGGCCCTGCCTTGACACACCCAAATCTCCCAATCCTTTGCCTCTGAGTACTTTTAGGATTAAGGCATGAACCACTGTGCCAGTTATTTTCATCCTTCTAATTCTAGAAAATTTGGTGTTAAGCAAGCACCCAGTTCCCAAAAATGTCCTTTAATTTGATTTAAGCATGCCTAATAATCTGCTTGCTGGCTATTACAATGTAGATCAATATATAACAGATCTAAAACAAAAAATATTATCGCATCATTTCTGTTGGGTCAGGAATCTGGGAGCAGCATATTTGGTAGCTTCTGGCTAAAAGTTTCTCAATGTAAGTTGCAGTCGGATGTTGGCAGTGGCTTGTAGGCCTCACCTGAAGCCTTGACTCGCAAACTCTATATGTGGTTGTTTGGAAGCACCCTGGTCTCACTAGTGTTGATTTGGAGGTTTTAGTTTCTCATCACGATGGGCCTCCTCCAGTGGTCTTCTCAAAACAGCAGCTAGCTTTCCAGTATAGAGAACATGTGGAAAAAGAGTATCGTAGGTGATATAGCTCAGTAGTAGAGTGGTTAGCAAGCATAAAGCTAGTATTCGTAGTATTGATCCCAATACTAGAGAATAAGAGAAGGCAAGTGAGTGCAAGAACACCTAGGCTGAAATAGTTTTTTTTTTTTTATTCACATGTGCATACCAAGGCTTGTTCATTTCTCCCCCTGCCCCACCCCTCCCTTAACCACCATCCCTCTCCCCCCACCCTCAAATACCCCAGCAGAAACTATTTTGCCCTTATTTCTAATTTTGTTGCTAGAGAGAGTATAAGCAATAACAGGAAGGAACAAGGGTTTTTCTGGTTGAGATAAGGATAGCTATACAGGGGTATTGACTCACATTGATTCCCTGTCGTGGTGTTACCTCTAGGTTAATTCTTTTTGATCTAACCTTTTCTCTAGTTACCTGTCCCCTTTTTCCTATTGGCCTCAGTTTGCATTTAAGGTATCTGCTTTAGTTTCTCTGCATTAAGGGCAAACAAATGCTAGCTAATTTTCTTACCTATCCTCACCTCCCTTGTATGCTCTCGCTTTTATCATGTGCTCATAGTCAATCCCCTGTTTTGTTTGCCCTTGATCTAATGTCCACATATTGAGGGAACATACATTTTTGGTCTTTTGGCCAGGCTAACCTCACTCAGAATGATGTTCTACAATTCCATCCATTTACCAGCGAATGATAACATTTCGTTCTTCTTCATGGCTGCATAAAATTCTATTGTGTATAGATACCACATTTTCTTAATCCATTCGTCAGTGGTGGGCATCTTGGCTATTTTCCATAACTTGGCTATTGTGATAGTGCTACAATAAACATGGGTGTGCAGGTGCCTCTGGAGTAACCTGTGTCACAGTCTTTTGGTATATCCCCAGAGTGGTATTGGCTGGATCAAATGGTATATCGATGTCTAGCTTTTTAAGTAGCCTCCAAATTTTTTTCCAGAGTGGTTGTACTAGTCTAACATTCCCACCAAACAGTGTAAGAGGGTTCCTTTTTCCCCGCATCCTGCCAACACCTGTTGTTGGTGGTGTTGCTGATGATGGCTATCTAACAGGGGTGAGGTGAATCTTAGGTGGTTTTAATTTGCATTTCCTTTATTGCTAGAGTGGTAGCATTCTTTTCGTGTGTTTTTTTGGCCATTTGAATTTCTTCTTTAGAAAATTCTTGTTTAGTCACTTGCCCATTTCTTTATTGTTCATTAGCTTTGGGAGAATTTAGTTTTTTAATTCCCTATATATTCTGGTTATCAGTCCCTTTGTCTGATGTATAGCTGGCAAATATTTTCTCCACTCTGTGGGTGTTCCTCTTCAGTTTACGAGGGACCATTTCTTTTGATGAACAGAAGTTTTAGCTTTTATGAGGTCCCATTTATTCTATGCTATCTCTTAGTTGCTGTGCTGCTGGGGTTTCGTTGAGAAGTTGCTTAACCTAACTACTTACTCAGAGTATTTACGGCATGAATAGCTTTTGTAACCTAAGTTTGAAACTAACTTGTTATCACTTCTTTTATATGCTATTGGTCACACAAACCAACCTTTATGATGTTTGGAGGCATGGTGTAAATATAAGGAGGTAGGGTTGATTGGTAACCATTTTGATGGCTGCCTGTCATATTAAAACATTCAGAAGGAATGTCATTTCTACGCATGAAAACCTTTTAGCTGTTTAACAAAAGCAGTTATTACTCAACTCAGTTTTTTCCTCCCCAGGATAACCCACCTCAATTGTTTCAGGATAACTTGTGGTTTTTCATGTTGTCTACCATGCTAGAGATGACATGTCCTATTCAGTTTTTTCTGCATATCTTTTAACTTCTGGGTACTACATTATAGTTTATATTGATTGTGACCTCTGACACCAGACTGCTTAGGTTTTATTGCAGTCCCCTGTACTTGCTAAGAGGTTCCCTGGGCAAGTCACTTAACTTCTCTTTTCCTGATGAGTCAAGTCTTTAAAGTGAGAATAATGCTAATTCCTGATTTATAGAGTAAGTATGAGGATTAGTGAATTAATGCAGGTAAAAAGTGGGCATGATGTTTATTCTTACTGCATAGTTATTATAAAGATCGAGTTTTGAATAGTGTTCAAAATAATGAATAATACTCAAAATAGCAACTATTATTGCTGTTTTCCTCATTATTGCGTGGTAATATTTTTCCACTGTGTTACCAATACTTGCCTCTTTTTTAAACCTACTGTTGATTGTTTACTTTTGTGTATGAAGATGTTAATAGTCCTTATGTAAAGTCGAATGTCTATACTTCAGTTTCCTGTTAGTTAGAATGAAAAAATACGTGTGTTTTTGAGAGGACATAAAGGACATAATGATGTGTTCTTTTTGCCAGCAATGTAGTTTTTGTAATGTCTGATTGTCTCTTTCATTTTTAATATTTTCTGTTTACAAACCTTATTTCCAATTCATGAAGAAAACTTTATTAGAAAGTATTGAAAAGTCTCAAAAGTATGATTATATTTTAAAATGTTGACAGGTTTAAAAATAATTTAGTTTTTCAACTCTTACCCAAAATGATACTTTCTATACCATAATTTAGATTGAATTACTTGGTTTAAAAAGCATCATCATTGTATTAGTTAGCTTTATATCACTGTAACAAAATATTAGAGATAGCCAACTTATAAGGAAGGAAGGTTTATTTTGATTCACAGTTTCAGAGTTTCAGTTTGTTGTCAGTTGGTCTATTGCTTTTAGGCCTGTGGTGAGATATATCATGGGGGCAAGTGTCAGACAAAGCTGCATACATACTTCATGGCTGGAACCAAAGAGAAAAAAAGAGAGGATTTGAGGTCCCCATATCTTTTTCAAGGAGAAACCTCCAGTGGCCCCTTCCACTAGGTCCCATCTCTTCAAGGTTCCACCACCTCCCAATAATACTACAGTATGGTGACCAAGCCTTCAACACTTGGGTCTTTGGGAGGCATTCAGGATCCAAACCAGCACTAGCAAAGATCTGGCTTGAGTTATTATTTGACTCACTTTTTATATTGAATCATGTTAACTTTTTTTAAATTACAGCTTTCATATTTCTTCAGAGAAAACTACGTTTTTTTTTTTTCCTATCCTGAACTAAATGTATAGATATCTTTGCTTTGTTTCTTTAATAGATAGCAAACAATAAAGATGCATTGAGGAAGACTTGGAACCCTAAGTTTACATTAAGAAGTCACTTTGATGGCATCCGAGCACTTGCTTTCCACCCCATTGAACCTGTTTTGATAACAGCGTCAGAAGATCATACACTGAAAATGTGGAATTTGCAGAAAACAGCCCCAGCCAAAAAGTGAGAATATTGTGCTTAAACTTTATTTGAATATTTTAGTTAAACTTCTCAGCAGGAAAAAAATATATTTAATTAGATTGCTTTTCCTTTCATACAGTCTAATGTTAGGTTGGAAAACTGGCATTTAAGAACAAATGTCTTTATCTGATGGTTTTCCCAGAATTTACAAATGCTGAGTACAGTCTTCAAGCATACAATGTTTTAAATGGCTATCTTCTTTGGGGAGCCCCTTGTCTCTACTGAAGATTCCTACTGTTAATATAAATAGGCATGTTTAAAATGATCAAAACTCTAACTTGAGCCTGTTCCATTATTTATTAATTTTGGGCAGACAGTATAGAGGAGGGGAAGGGCTAGTTGGGAGAGCAGTGAGGGACCTGTCTTTGGTCTTATCTTTTAGCCTTGGGTCTTTAGGTACTTTCCATTCCAACCAGTTATGTCTAAACTGAGACTCTGATATTGCCTTTACTTAATTGTTTGTTCTTGCCATGGGCCCCTTGGTTTCTAAGTAGCAAAAGACATGATTTAGTATAAACTCTTTTATAAGTCCCCGAAGCTAGACTTGATTCCACTTGATAGGATCCTTACATTGTCCATAACTAGCATCTGCCAGCAAGAGCCCTTTTGCTCAGTGGCATGCATGCTGTAAGCCATACACAGGACACATAAAATGCTTGATTTATCAGTCTGTAACAGATAGCACCACCAGATCTTGAGAAAACTAAATGAACCCTAATTTTGATCTTATATTTTCAGCAGAGAAAAATTATTTCCTGTTTATACATTATGCCTTTTTCCTTTCTAGTTCTTTGGTCACAATGCACTAGCTCTTATTCCAGCACAGTCACATGCAGCTAGAGATACAAATGTCTCATTTAGAAAAAAATTGAAATAAGTTTGTTGTTGGTGATAGCTTAGTAAAAATACCTTCACATGCAAATAACAGTAACTTGTCTACCTTTGAAATTAAAACTTGGAAATGACCTATAAAAGTTGTCAAATCTCATTTAATTACATGAGTATTTGGTGTTATCCCCATTTTTCTGTTTTATTTTTAATATAGAGGACTCTGAAGTTCTGAAAGACTAAGTAACTTGCCTAAAGTTAACTACCCAGTTAATGACAGCACTGAAAATCAAATTCAGAAATTTATTCCTTCAAACCCCTACAATTTTTCCTGAGTGAAGTTGTCTCTCCCTTTAGTCAAGTAGGTGATGATAATGCTAAAAGCATTGTAACAGGTATTTTACTAACAAGGAGCTTGTTTCTTGACACCATGACAATGTGAGTGGACTTAGGTAAGCTTTCTGATGTATCCTGTAGTTGAGAATAGTTTTATTACCAGGATGTCTGTATTCCTAAAGGCAATGTTATAACATATATTCAGTCATACTGTTTACTATTGAAATTTAGAATGGTTAAACTTGTCTTCTTTCTCTGATTTAGGAGTACTTCTCTTGATGTAGAGCCTATCTATACCTTCAGGGCTCATAAGTAAGTATGTGCTTTTCCTTTGTTTTAAACCAATATCATTGTAAAGCAGCCTGATTGGGTATTTTATTTTCTTTCACTTACATATTTTTGTTCAGTAATTTTTGTATTTAGTCGCGGGTTTTTTTGTAAGTGTAAAAGAAATTGGCAGCTAATATTATGCTAAAATCAAGTTTATCACTAACAAATAGGAATCCTTGCTGAAAGTTTTTGTTTGCATGATATTTAAATAGTATGTGCATGTGTATCTTGAAGTTGAGGCAATTAGCTTTAAATATTAGAAATCCTGGCATTTGTTTCTCTTAAAGGTAATCTATATAAAAATATTTGAGGGCTGAGGATGTAGCTCATTTGGTAAAGTGTTTGCCCTGGGTTTGATCCCTAGCAACACACACACACACACACACACACACACACACACACAGACACTTTTTTTTTCCTTAGAATTTTTAAAATTGTGATGACACATTTTCCTGTTCTCATTTAAGAGTAAGGAACATGTCAGTTTAATTTAGCATAGAAATTAGTATACTTTTTATATATAGGGTCAGAGAATAACTTTTCCAAGTTTGGCAGGCCATATACTTTGTTGCATTTTTTTTTTTAATTTGTTTGAATGTTTTTGTTTTTGCATTACTGGGAATCCAACTCAGGGCCTTGGAACAGCATATTGTTTTTTTGTTTTGTTGTGTTTTATTTTGTCTTACAGCCCTTTAAAAATAAAAAAAACATTCTTAGCTTCAGGACTGTATAGAAACAGACTAGTGCTTGAATTTGATCGAGACGACATAGCTTACCAACCTCTGGTTTAGGAGAGGGTGAAAAATGAACAATGTTTTAACAGTATTTTTATTCATTGCAAAAGGCAGAAAAATAGACGATCATTTAGTAATTAGGCATTCTTATTTTTGACAAGTCATTATAAGATTAATTTTTGAGAACAGCAGTTTATCTACTTACCTAATTTATTTATTTAATGTTCCAGAGGTCCAGTACTTTGTGTGGTGATGAGCAGCAATGGTGAGCAGTGTTATAGTGGTGGTACTGACGGACTGATCCAGGGCTGGAATACCACTAATCCTAACATTGATCCCTATGACTCCTATGGTATGTGATTACCTCAGGTCCTGACAGAATAAGATGTTTTCTTTTTATATATGTTTGTGGCACCTATAAGGGTAAAAATTAGGCATTTTTGAAAATAAGTAAAAGATAAGAATGCCTCTTTTTTTAAGAAAAATAAAGATTCCTATATTTAGGAATGAATTTTATATGTGATACTAAAAGAACAAAACAATTCCCACTTCCCCAAAGTCTTATTGATTAGAAATACTGATTTGCTTAACAATTGTTTCCTTTTAGGCATCTGTATGGTAATTGATACCTTATTACTAATCTGTGATCATGTCTTTTCACTATTCTTAACAAACAGCTTTGAAGGAAAATGAATATTGGCATTATTCCCCTGGTCAGTTATTAGAGGGATATAGAAACTAATAAGATTTAAAGTCCATGCTACTGAAATATTTCCCTCAAAAGTTAAGAAGTGCCCTTTAGGCTTGGTAAAAATATCATCAGGCATAAATCCGTATTATATCTTCACTACATATTACCATAAATTCGCTTCCAAAAACTGTTCAGGAATTGGCAATTTTGGTTTTCTCTTAAGTTGTAGAATGGATTAAAATGTCATATTTGTCATAAAGCAAATTTTAATTTACTATCACTTAAGATTAATTTTACCATCAAATCTAAGTAAACATAAATTCAGTAAACAAAAATTTTTCCCAGTATTCATTTAATAAGCACAAAAGTGGATCATTTTCTTTAAAAAGACAGTACAAGGTTTTTAATTTAATTTAAAAAATTTCCAAGGCCTGTTTTGATTTCTGCAGCATTTCAAAGAATAATAGAAACAAGGAAAAGTATTTCATAGTTATCAAATACTTTTAAACTAATATGTTTGCTTTCTCTGGGACCTAAAGACCTTTATGACTTTTTCCTCCTGATTTTGCACTTTTTCCGTTTTGCATAGATCCTTCAGTTTTAAGAGGCCCTCTATTAGGCCACACAGATGCAGTCTGGGGTTTGGCTTACAGTGCAGCACATCAAGCGTTTGTTGTCCTGTTCAGCAGATGGCACTCTTCGTTTATGGAACACAACAGAGGTTGCTCCAGCACTAAGTGTATTTAATGATAATCAAGGTAACATACATAAATAATTCAGCAGGCAATACAAATAAATAATGATTCCATGAACCCTTGCTATTTAAATGTAGAGGGTTCTTGAAGCAACAAAAATGTACTTGTTTGAAGTTTCAACTTATGTGTAAGTTTAAAAACATAGTATTTGGTGTGAAAACATTTTAAATACAGTGAAAAATGCAGATCTTAAGGGTATATTTCAGTGCTGATAAATAAGTAAGTGTTATAACTTGCACAGATCAAGACTTAGAACATTACTTTCACCTTTCCAGAAACTCCTTTGCAGCCTTCTTAGTCAATCCCTCTCCCCATTCCTATCAGAGGTACCACTGTTGTGATTTTTTCATCACAGATTAGTTTTGTCCATCCCAAATCTTCATAAAATGTAATAATACAGTATGTGTTCTTTTGTGTCTTTCTTTTTACTCACTATGTTTCTGAAATTCAGTGTCATTTTATTTCTTTATTCTTTTGAGAGTATTTTATTAAACTATAATTTGCCTGTTTACTGCTTTTATTATCATATATTAATTGTACAAAGTGAGGGGTTTCATTGTAACTTTCCCATACAGAATATAATGTACTTTGATCATGTTCATCCCTTCTATTATTCTTTCCTATCCCCTCCTTCCCTCAAACTTCTCTTTTAAACTTTCTTACAAATTTTTGTATGGATTTCATTTTGACCTTTTCATATGTACATGCAACATGCTTTGATTATACTTTCTTTATGTCTTGATAGATACTTTGGGACTGCTAAAAAGTAAGCTATGATGAACATTCATATTTTCATTGTGAGTGGGTAGAGATCCAGAAGTAGAATTGCTGAGTTTCAGCGTGGGTTTTTTTTTTTAACTTTATGTAAATTCACCATTTTTTTCAAAGTGTTTGGAACATTTTATACCACTAACCACAATGTATAAGTGTTCCAAGTACTCTACATCTTTACCAACACCTTTGGTGTTGTCAATCTATTATGATATAAATGAGTTCCATGTTTAGTTCCTGTATAACAAAATACCTTTTCTATTCTTGAGCTGTTGTTACTTATTTTTAGACTTCAATGAAATCTAACAAATGCTAGGTAAGCACTCTACCACTGAGCCCTGTGCCCAGCCTGAGCTGGATTTTTTTTTTTAATGAAAACTTCCCACTATGTCACTCTACAGCCCCAGATTGAAGTGAATGCAGCAAAACTTGTAGTCCATACATGTTTTCCATTTACTTTCTAAATGAGTGTATTAGCAGAATACTGGGTAGCAGATATGCTGAACAGGTAAAGGATAATAAACTAAGAGGCTAGAGGAGTGGTTCAAGTGGTAGAGTGTTTGTCTAGCATGTACAAGGCCCTAGGTTTAATCCCCAGTACCACAAAAAACAAACAACAACAACAAACTATCATCACACATTTGTTCTCATCAGCATGGTAGAGCACACCTATAATCCCAGGTACTCAGGAGGCAAAGGCTGGAGGATCACCAGTTAAATTCCAGTCTGCACAAAGTTTAGCAGGACTCTGTCTTGAAAATAAAATACAAATAAAAGGGCTTGAAGTATGGCTTAAATGGTAGAACCCTCCTAGCATGCACAAGAAAAAAAAAAGAAGGCAGCAGCAGAAAGTTATGAAACTTACAATCTTCATTGAATGCTTATGAGTTGAGATAATTCTTATTCTAATGGTAGACTTTATGTACTTCTTAAGGAAATCATGCCATTATTTGTTTTGCTGTATTTTTAAGCACATTGTCAAGTAGACCCCTCTAATTGCTGTTCTCTTTTGACTCTTAGAATTGGGAATCCCTGCCTCTGTGGATCTAGTGAGCAGTGACCCGAGCCATATGGTAGCATCATTCAGCAAAGGATACACAAGCATTTTTAACATGGAAACACAACAACGCATTCTCACTTTAGAATCCAATATAGATTCAAGTATGTATATACCAATTTTAAATAGTCTATGTTTGGATCAGCTTTTTACATAATCAAAATTGTAACTGCTAGACTCAACTGTGAAAAATACTTGTCATTATAAAGTGTCCTGCCTCTTAAACTTCAGAACATATTTGCTTACATGAATATAATGATTTACAATTGGTTTCTATGAGTTAGTTACATTTTTGTGTATTTATAACTATACTATTTGAAATGGCATTTGAGTTATTCCACAGGTGAGTTAAATTAAATTTTATACCAGATGATTAATTTCAGTTCTATTCAAAGAAAAAAAGAATTCTGAATAGAACATAAAATCTGTTTTTTTATTTTTCGTAATTTCATTTTTAACCAATTTTATATTAGTAATATAAACTTATACACCTCAATACTGATTAGACTGTAGATTGCATTATAGCTCTCAGAATCTCAAATCTGAAACTTCTCATTGGATATGGAAGTCAGGAAATAAATGCGTTCTTAGGGTTTGAAGAAAATATTAGGGACTCTTTTGGCTGTTGGCTTTTGTTAATGATCGCTTTCTATCTTTAGTCATAATGCAGACAAACACAGTTTAGGTTGCAGTTGATTTAAAAAACTGCATACACATATACTTTTGTTTTAATCTGAAAACTAGCTTTAAAAGTGATTACATGCATGTAAAAATGTACATGTGCATTCGTTTACTTGTCTCTTTCCCTACTTCTCTTTCCCTCTGAAAATTTTCATTCTTTCTGTTTGGGTTTTCTTCATTTTTACTTCTTAATTGGTTATTCTTTGTTTTCTTTTCATATGCTGTGACAGTTATTTGGAGAAGTAGCCATGACTAGAACTTTGAGTTATTTAAATATAAAAGATAAAAACAGGAAAATAAAAGGTGAGATTATAGATTTAGAAAAGACAATTATTTTGCCAAAAAAAATACAGATTTTAGATTCTCAGTAAATTTAAAATCACATTTAAATAATGATTTGAAACACAGTGGTAAAAATTTTAAAAACCAATGTGAAATCAGGGAGACCATGAGCATTTCTGGAATTACCTTCAGAGATTGTAGCCAGTTCTTTGAATTTCCTGAGTGACAAATGTTGATTTTTCATGACTGCTCCAAGTTGGTAAAATCTGGTGGGTAAGGTAGATAAACTGAACTAGGTGATCCCATTTTCTTTTCCCAAGTGTGGCCATAAAGTAATAGACATTTTGTCTGTGACCAGAAACATTTTTAGAAGACTACCAAGAATGTTTTTAACAAAGATCACATTATAAGAAAAGTGACAATTATTTTCACTTACAAAAACATGTCTTGACATTTTATAGACTATCAGTTTTATTATTTTTAGAGATGTATAAAGCAAACTTAATCTTGTATTCCTTTCTACTGTGCACTATCTCTTTGCTATTTATGTTTGATTATGTCATTCTACTCTGAAATTTAACAGATTTTGAATATGTGTGTGATGCTGGGGATTAAGCATACTCTTGAGCATGCTAAGCAAGTGCTCTCTACTGAGCTACACCCTCAACCGCTTGTTTTTTAAATTAAAGTGCAACCCAAATGTCTTTGAAGTGCTGGTGGAATGGCTCAAGTGCTTAAGCACCTGCCTAGCCCCAATACTGACAAAAAAAAAAAGTGTCTCACAAATTCCAAACATTTTTCAAAGTGAAAGTGAATTTCATATAGAGTTTCAAGTGATGAGGGTGTTTGCTGCTAGAATAAGAATCAACCACTGTTCTTCCCATTGGTGCCAAGGGTGATTGGACTGTAATGTCAAAGGTCCTTGAAGCAGGTAATTGGGTACTTGTGAGCCCAGTGAGAAGATAAACATTTCTGAGTCACAAGCTAAACCTGAATACTTGGAGAATTCTTTTGGTTTCACTGTTAGAATGGAATCTAGGCCTTCTTCTTATTTCTAATGTTCTTTGTATTTTGCCAACTTCTCTGATTTACCATAAATACTTCCTTAAAAGTATTTTCTTTTGCTTGCTTCCATGATTTGATTTCCATCATATTCATTTTCTAGGTCTCAAAATAACTGAAGCTCTTCTCAAACTTCACTCTCATAATACATGACATATTTTATTTCTCTATTTTTCATTATTTTTCTGCTACTAAACCTTACAAAATATATTGCTCAATGGTCTGTTACCTCATAGTCTGAATTTTGAAACTAAGCATCTCTTTGTTTAGGATTATCTAAATCAAGTATAACTAACAAAGAACTTACTCCAGATCTATAATCCTAGCTACTTGGAAGGTTTGGACAGGAGAATCACAAGTTCAAGGCCAGCCTGGGGAACATAGTGAGATCCTGTCTCAAAACAAAACAACAATAATAAAACTAAAACCTACTTTTAGCCTAGTGCCAAGTGTTCATGCCTATAATCCTAGCCACTCAAGGCAGAGGTCAGGAGGATCTCTGTTGGAGGCCAGCCTGGGCAAAAAAGCGAGACTCTATCTCAAAAATACCCAACACAATAAAGGGCTGATAGAGTAGTTCAAGTGCCTGCCTAACAAGCATGAGGCCCTAAGTTCAAACCCCCCCCACTCCCATACTGCCAGAAACAAAAACCTATTCTTCATGGCCAAGTGACCTTTGCTCTATATTTAAATAGCAGACTGAGTTATCACCTACCATTAGACTATCTTCAATTTTTAAGATGTCGTATTCCTAAGAACCACATGAAAGTCTAGTAAGATTATTTTTAGTTAGCTTTTCTGTTGTGTGAATGTAAAATAATACCTGTTCTAGGATCTTAATTTTTAAATAATTTTAAATTGCAGAAAAATTGCAAAAGTAGTAAAAGGACTTCTGGCTACACTTCACTCATGTACTAATTTTCAACGTTTTGTCACCTTTGCTTTCCCATTCTTGTTTGTATGTATAATTCTCAATTCTAAGCCACCTCAGAGACATTGTGCCCCTATTGCCCTGAATCCTTCAGCATGTGATTCCCAAGAACAAGTACATTTTCTGACATAGCACATCAGTGGTCAAAATCAGGAAATTTAATATTCACACAATACTGTTGTCTGAGTTACTGCTCATATTCAGTTTGTCCCAACAATGTATTTTATTTTAATTTTTAAATGTTATTAATACATAATAGTTGTATGAGAGTTTTGTTGTGACATTTCCATATATGCATGCAACATACTCAGGTTGGATTCATCCCCTCCATTATTCTTCCTCTTCCCCTCCCCCTTCTTAAAATGTCTTTGACATGTTTCAGTGTTCCATATTTCTACATGTGTGGAAAATATATCAACCATATTTACCCTCCTTTACTCTCTTCATTTACCCCCACACACACTGGTATCCTCCCCTTTACATGGCCTGTTCTACACTCCTATACTTCATTATTTGTCTGTCCATTGTTCATTGGGGTTTTGCCTTGGTATTTTAACTGTAAATAGACTTTAATCAGTCTAACCCCCTTTATTACTCTTAAGAAAGAGTAAAAACCCTTTTTCTCCTACCCTGTATTGTTCAGCAATTTTCAGTGCATTTCACTGTATCTTGTTCCTACACAGAGGTGATGCATTTCAGTATTATCCACTCTTTATTGATGTTTTCGTCTTTTCCTCCTCCTTTAGTTTCCTCTAATAGCTCCACTTTTGGGAACATGTGCATATTTATATGTATATATGATAATGCTTGTATTCGTATTTGGATCGGTCTTCCACATATGAAAGAAAAATGTGACCTTTGTCTTTCTCAACCTGACTTACCTCACTTAGGATGATAATCTTCAATTCCATCCATTTACCTGCAAATGACAAAACTTCATTATTTATGGCTGAATAATATTCCCTTGCATATATAACACATTGTTTTAATGCATTCATCAACTGGGCATTGAGGCTATTTCCATAGTTTGGCTATTATGAATAATACTGCAATTAACATGGATGTGGAGGTGTATTTTTTTTGTAACCTGACTTACATTCTTTCAGGTATATGCCAAAGAGTGGTATTGCTGATCATTTAGTTCTGTTTTTAGTTCTTTGAGGAGCCACCACAGCAGTTTATTTACTAATTTACATTCTCACCAACAGTGTATGAGGGTTCCTTTTTTCCCTGCATCCTTGCCAACATTTGCTGTTGTTTGTATCTTTTTTTATTTTTTTGGAACTGTGGTTTCAACTCAGGGCCTCATGCTTGCCGGGCAGGCACTCTTACTAATTGAGCCACTCTGCCAGCCCTTTTTTTGTGATGGGCTTTTTTTATTATTATTATTCATTTATTCACATGTGCATACATTGTTTGGGTCATTTCTCCCCCCTGATCCCTACCCCCACCCCCACCCTCTCCTTCACTCTCTCCCCCCTCACTTCCAGACAGGTTCTGTGCTTTTCTCCGGTTCTGTGCTTTTCTCCAGTTCTGTTGAAGAGTAGAAATAAGCAATAATAAGAAAGACATAGCGTTTTTGCTAATTGAGATAAGGACAGCTATACAGAGAGATTCCTAGCATTGCTTTCGTATACAAATGTGTTTCAACCCAGGTTGATTCATCTCTAATTGATCTTTACACTGGTTCCTGATCCCCTTCTCATGTTGACCTCTGTCGCTTTAAGGTTTCTGTATTAGTTCCTCTGGAGTGGGGACATTAAATGCTTTCATGTTTTGGGTTTTCTGCTTATCCCCGTACCTCCCATATGTGCTCTCCCCTTGTCATGTGACCCAAGTCCAACCACATTGCTGCATTTGCCCTAGATCTAAAGTCCGCATAGGAGGGAGAACATACAATTTTTGGTCTTCTGTGTCTGGCTAACCTTGCTCAGAATGATGTTCTCTAGTTCCATCCATTTACCTGCAAATGATAAGATTTCATTCTTCTTCATGGCTGAGTAAAATTCCATTGTGTATTAATACCACATTTTCTTGATCCATTTGTCAGTAGTAGGGCAAGTTGATTGTTTCCTAAACTTGGCTATTATGAATAGTGCTGCAATAAACATGGGTGTGCAGGTGCCTCTGGAGTAACCTGTGTCACATTCCTTGGATATATCCCCAAGAGTGGGATTGCTGGATCTTATGGCAGATCTATGTTTAGATTTTTAAGAAGTCTCCAATTTTTTTTTCCAGAGTGGTTGCACCAGCTTGCATTCCCACCAGCAGTGTAAGAAGGTTCCTTTTTCCCCACATCCCCGCAAACACATGTTGCTGGTGGTATTTTTGATGATAACTATTCTAACAGGGGTGAGGTGGAATCTTAGTGTGGTTTTGATTTGCATTTCCTTTATGGCCAGAGATGGTGAGCATTTTTTCATGTGTCTTTTAGCCATTTGAATTTCTTCTTTTGAGAAAGTTCTGTTTAGTTCAGTTGCCCATTTCTTAATTGGTTCATTGATTTTGGGAGAGTTTAGTTTCTTAAGTTCCCTTATTCTGGTTATCAGTCCTTTGTCTTTTTTTTTTTTTTTTTTTGAGATAGGGTTTCCTGGAACTATTTGCCCCAGGGCTGGCTTCAAATAGCGATCCTCCTGATCTCTGCCTCCTGAGTAGCTAGGATTACAGGCGTGAGCCACTAGCACCTGGCTTATTTGTGTTCTTGATAATAGTCATTCTAAAAAGGTGGAATCTTGTGATTTTAATTTGCATTTCCTTTACATCCAGGAATGTTGAGCATTTCTTCATGTGGATTTTGTTTTTGGCCTTTTGTATTTCTTTGAAAATTTTCTGTTCAGTCATATGCCCATTTCTTAATTGTATCACTGATTCTTTAGGAGTTTTGTTTTTTGAGCTCCCTCTAAATTCTGGTTGTTAATCCCTTGTCAGATACACAGTTGGCAAAGATTTTTCTCCCATTCTGTAGGCCGTCTCTTCTGTCTGGTGGCCATTTCTTTTGCTGTACAGAAACTTTTCAGTTTCATGTAGTCCCATTTATCAATACTTTCTCTTAGTCACTGAGCCATTAGAGTTCTGTTTAGGAAGTCATTGCCTATGCCTATCTGTTCCAGTGTATTTCCTGCTCTCTCCTGCAGTAGTTTTAAAGTTCCAGGCCATGTTTTAAGGTCTTTGATCCACTTTGAATTGATATTTGTACAGGATGAAAGACATGTATCTAGTTTCAGTCTTCTACATGCAGATAGACAATTTTCCCCAGCCACATTTGTTGAAGAATCTGGGTTTTTTCCATCATATTTGGGTTTTGGGTGCCTTTGTCAAAAATCAGGTGCTTAGCTGCATGGATTTATGTCTGGGTCTTCCATTCTATTCCATTGGTCTTTGGGTCTGTTTTTGTGCCTGTGTCGTGCTGTGTTATTGTTATGGCTCTGTGATATACTTTGAAGTCAAGTATCATGATATTTCCAGCATTGCTCTTTTTGCTCAGTGTTGCCTTGGTTATTCACAGCCTTTTGTGCTTTCATATGAACATTAGGGTTGACTTTTCAATCTCTGTGGGAAATGTCATTGGAATATTGATGCGATTTCATTGAACATATAGATTCATATAGCCATTTTCATGATACTAATTCTGCCAATCCATGAGCATGAAAGTCTTTCCATCTTCTGGTGCCTTCTTCGATTTCTTCTATGATTTACATAGTTTTCATTGTACAGGTCTTTCACTTCCTTTGTATTTTTTGACATTATTATTACTGGAATTCTTTTCCTAAATTCTTTCTCAGTCTGTTCATTATTGGTATATAGAAAAGCTATTGAATTTTGTATATTGATTTTTGTATCCTGCTACTTTGCTGCAGGTGAATAGACAAATTGAAACTTTAGCAAGAAGGGAAAAAAAAGTTTTAAAAGTCTGAATTTCTTCCTTGTTGTGGAGAAGAGTGGGTTTCTCCTGTGCTCAGTGAGCACACTGGATGCTCCTCTCTAATTTCTAGTCCTCAGGTTTTTGTCTGCAGTTCTCATGTGTCCCCTCAGGGTGGTGCCCCTCCCCCACTGGGCCAGGCTGGGTCCCTATAGGCAGAGGCTTTCTCTCAGTTCCTGCCCCTCCTTAGGACAGATATACTGGGCAGGTTTGGGGGGCTTCACTCAGGCTATTTAGCCAAAGGTTCCTCTTGGAGAGAGGCAGTCAGATCCAGCACGCTTAGCTAGGAGACTTCTCTGAGGTGCTTAAGCAGGGCTGGACAGGGAATGGCAGTCTGGGAGCTTTAGCTCAGACTTTTTGACCAGAAAGTCTTTGGAAATTCAGCTTGCTACTAGGCTTCTTGGTGTTGGTTGAACAAGTTATTATTTCCCATATACTATGCTCAACCTTGACTAGCCTGCAACCTCACTGGCTTCCTTTGTATAGAGATGCAGAGGCTGAGCCACAAGCCTCAGTGCCCCTCCCCTGCCAGACAGGGCTTTATTAGACCAAGAGATTTCTCCTGGAAGGGTTCAATCCAATTCCCACAAGCAGAGCTGCTCAGTGCAGTAGCCCTCAGGACTGAAAGTGGCTAGCTCACCTGAATAGTTTGTAGGCTCCTCTCTCTGGTATGGAGTGGGATCCCTAGGTCAGCCATGGGTGATTGTTCCCTTTCTACACAGTTCGTGACTCTCGAGGCTTCTGCAAGGTTTGCAGCCCTGTGTGCCAATATTTTGCACTTTGGTGGATTAGAGGCTACTGTGTGGTCCAGGGAAAAAAAAAGAAAAAAGAAAGAACACCCACCAACAAAACAAAGATGTTGGTGGTGCAGTGGGTTCCTGGCAGTGCTCCTTCTCTCCAGTAATGTATTTTATAAGGACATTCCTTCCTATCCCTGGAAAATGATACAATGATTTTTTTAAAACTTTGACTTATCTTAAATTAGTGTTATCTTCATATAGGCTTTTCTTTTCTTACAAAAATATGTTAATAAAAACCACTAATTGAACTTAAGTTCTTCATTAATTAATTAATTTAGACAAGATCTGTGTAGCTTAGTCTGGCCTCAAAGTTAAGCTTCTCCCGAGTGCTGTGATTATAGGTGGGCACCATCATGCCCAGCTTCTTCCTAATTATTGAGTCCCTCTTAATAAAAAGGCTTTCAGAGGAAGTTGTAATAGTTTGAGAACCAAGTTTTGGTGATTACTTGATCTATATGACCCACCTGGTTGGGTGGGAATAGAGTTAGAAGTTAAAATAGGCCCTGGTTTTGTCACTTGACATAGGAGAAGCCACAACTATTTCTTTACCTTGTATATTCACTGTGGTATGGGTTTAATGATATTTGATCTGTCTGTCTCGTGCATTTAAATGAAATCTCTTCTTAAATAGTGCGTGAAAAATACTAAATGCTGTTTTAAAATTCCAAACCTGGTAAACTGTCAAATGATGACTGTTTCTACTATAATGAGATAGAGTGAAGAAGAAAAGATTTAAGTGTTAAGAAGCTCTCTTTGTCATGTTTATCTTTAGATCACAACCATATGATAAAGAGCACTTTGTGTAAAAAAAAAACTGAGTTTAAAATTTAAGGATTAGCTTCATGCAAGTGATGATGGAACTTTATTAAAGTAGCAAAAATACCACAGAACACTGTAAAATGAGAAATCATTGGCTCTTGGCTAAGTTGTAGGTGGTGCCAATAGACAGCCTGTGGTGGAAAAGGAAATTCTAATTTGTAGGTAGATCAGGCATTTCTTGTTTCCTAACATTGAAGTTACAGAAATAATTGGAGAATAAACAAAATATAAACAAACTTGCTCTTTCAACCTCATAGGTGAATATTCACTTCTCCCTTCTGTGAAAAAATAGCTTTGACTAATGTGTGTTGCTCTTCCATTTTACCTTTTCAGCATCCAGTAATTCCTGCCAAATAAACAGAGTCATCAGTCATCCCACCCTTCCTATCAGCATCACTGCTCATGAAGACAGGCACATCAAATTCTATGATAACAATACAGGTAAGGATTTATTAAGAATAGGTTTTTGCTAAAGTGAAAAAATCCCTACTAAAATTAGGCTGGGATGCTTCCAGGTAGCATTACAGGCTTGCACCACTGCACCTTGCTAAAATTGTTTGATTATTAAATAGCCTTATTAATATTCACTTTTATGTATTTTTGAGTAGCTCTATTCAGCGTTGCAAATAGAACCTCCCCCCCAGATCATTTGGTTTGTTTTATTCATTTTTCCATGGGTGTATCTTTTTTGTGGCATAATAAAATCTGAGTCCTGCTTGATTTGAATTGGAATATGGGGCTTTTCCAGTTTTTATTGGACTGCATTTCATCAGTCCAGAGGAAATTCATGGGAGGAAGGTACTCTATTAGCAGCCATATTTCCCTGACTGTCTGCTGTTGGCCTTGTTATTATGGTGGCTTGCTGGCTGTGCTTAATTGCTAGTAATTTAATATTTTTAAATATTTTCTATATATTGTTTCCATCAAAATTGTGACCATGTTTCCTTTCTATTCCTTTGTCTCAATCTCTTTTCTCTGTGAATTTGAACACTCCATTCCTTTAAATCCATATAATTTGTCTGTAGCTAAGGATGCAAAAATAGGTGGCTAATAACCTAATTAACACACATGTAAAAACTACTGAGTTCTATATTGAAGTTTAAAATACCTTCTTTTGTTCTTCATCATTGCCATGACTGGAAGTAGGAGGGGGACGTGTGCTTTAGCTGATAGAAAAAGTTATTGATACAGTGAGTATACACACAGGGGTGATTGGAAAAACCAGTAACTTGGTAACCAGCATGTGCTCCAGATGAGCAGAATCAGTAGTAAAGAGTAACATTGATCTCTTTTTCCAAAGGTAAGCTGATCCACTCAATGGTAGCCCATCTGGAAGCTGTTACGAGCTTAGCCGTTGATCCTAATGGCCTGTACTTGATGTCTGGCAGTAAGTACCGCCACCTGTAGATTATTTATTTGTCTTTATCATTTTAATGTTAATGTAATTGTTTCTTTCAATTTCCTTTCTTTTGGTATAGGTCATGACTGTTCAATACGTTTGTGGAATCTAGAAAGTAAGACATGTATCCAGGAGTTCACAGCTCATCGGAAAAAATTTGAAGAATCAATTCATGATGTAGCTTTCCACCCCTCCAAATGCTACATAGCTAGTGCTGGAGCGGATGCTCTGGCTAAAGTCTTTGTATGACATGATGCTTCATCTTCACCTTCTAGCTCTTTATAAATAACCAACTGCACAAAAGAGATTCAGAAGACCAGGGCAAGAATCATCTCGTCTTGCCCTTTTATTCTGCTGAAGGAGCACAGAGAACATTTGTTAAAGTATAGTTTTGCAATTCATATACTGTTTTCTAAAATTAAGGTTTGTTCAGGTTGCTGCAAGCTCAGCTGAATCTGTGAGCCTAAAAACTGTTTAAAATCTTCCCCCAAAGAGGCGCTTTTATTTCTGAAGTTGTTCTAATTTGCTAGGCAGGTCTGAGTGAACCCAGGTTTAGTTTGTCTTGTCCTTCTTGAGTGAACAGGGCATCCTCTAATGGACAATTAAAAACTGGATGGCTGGGGAATGAGTATAGGAAGAGCAGAAACTTAGATTTACTTCTCCCTTGAGAAATCTTGTTAAACACATTAGGTAGTCAAACAGTAATCTGTACTATATCTCCTGTACTAACCCTGTTATGTATAATAACCAGTCAGTGTTAAAAATCAGTTCTAATTTAACTCTCCTTTCAGCTGTTTGCATAAAGCACGTGGCAAAGCATTTTACCTATTAGAAGGAAAAGATGCAATAATATGTTAAATATATTATTATTCAGAAATGCTAAGCATACTTAATTCGCAAGCAAATTTCTATATTGTATTATTGTTTTGAAAATGAATTTGGAACAGTTCTAAAGTTTAGCTGTCAGGCACTCTTCAAACTGAAGAACAGTTTGATAGAGTCTACTTTTTCTAAAAGATTTAAGCTTATTCAGGTTTGAGATTCTGTTTGTTTTTTTTTAAAGGGCAAACGGCATATCTCTAATTTTTATTTTCAGATTCATCTTATTCATCTGATATTTTATAATATCAGAGGGATTATTTCATATTGATGAAATCTTACCTTCCAGTGACTAAAAAAGGTAGAAGTATTTGTTGGTACTTGTTTATCAACATCCACATAACCATGATTTAGATTATCTCTGCTCTTTCTTCTTTGTCTTTCACATTCATATTATCTGACACCTACCAAAAATAATAATTATTATATTTTAATAGTCCAAAGAGTATGTTTAACCTCAGGCAACTGCTTCTGCAGCAGTACTAAATAAAGAAAATTTTTTGTTCCTTAGAAGTCCTCTATTAGTATCTCTAAGAAAAACCTCCTGGAAATCTGGATGGAAGAGTTTAACACCTTATATTGGCTAAAAGGTCCTTTCTCCCTCCCCCTGCCCCATTGTTTAATTTGAATACACATTTTAGTGGGCAGTGAATCAGTATTGTTTCTGGGGAAAACCTTGTCTTAAAAGGCCAGGTTTCACTTTATCTGTGACCCCTATGTAGTTGACATTTGGAATTCTCATAACCTTACTCTCCAGAACTAGAGCCCTATCATGCAGAACTCTTCCTACAACTGTCATGCCCCTCTTCGTGTTTTTCTCTTCTTTGCCCTTAATGATAAAGACCAATGTAGATATTAAAAATAGCTAAAATTAATGTCCAACTTTTTTGACAAAATGTACCATAGGCTTTCAGTCTTTAAATATTGCATCCATAAATATTTTAAGCCATTAAAGTAATTCCTACATTTCTACACTAATATATTCCCTTGGCATAGGAATGACACTTTTGATGGTATGTACTTCTGTTCCTTTAAGTGTTATTCTCATGGTGATATGGTGGATATAATTGACAATATTTCTTTAAAATTTCTGCTTATCTGCCTCTAGAATTCTGCAGTACACAGGCAAATTTTCATTAAAGCTATAAGACTGTCCTAAATTTTCCTGATTTTTATAAAAACATGCTGTTGTATTTAACATAGCTACTTTTTCATCTCCATGCTTTGGTTAACAAATAGGCTGAAGAGACTTCTTTGCATAATCAAGTGACTGAATTGACCTAGGCATAAGCTACCAGGAGAATTCTTATATTTCTATGCAGATATAAAATTCCAAATTGTGTTTGTAGATTCCTTTCAGTTCTTCTCAAAATTAACAAAGGGACTTGTTAACTTAATTTTTATAGAATACGGAAAATTATAGTCAGGTGCTCTTACTTGATGTATTTATGATAGGTGACCTCATATCTATTGTTCCAAGGTCTTCAGTGCCTGCTTTACTTATATCACTGAAATTCTGAAAACCAAGACACTCTCTTTCATTTCATGCCTCATGGTTGAAGTTTTTCCGTCACTGAATAGGAAATAACCCTCAGATGTGCAAACTCTAATCAGAATGGTGGAACTGTTGAAAGTTCCTTAGGAAGCCAGCACTATGCCATTGAAGACTATACATAGAAAGAGAGACTCTCCACATTAGCACTGTATGAGCTCAGCCTAGAAATGAGCCAGAGCTGTCTTCCAACAAGATGGTAGCGTATTCATGTATCTAAGTTCTCCCAAACTATTGGAAATACACAAAATGAATAAGTTGAAGGTTCAAGCAGTCATTGAAGTGCTTTCATAATGCTTGACTTGTAAATAGTTGGAATGAAATGTATTGGAATAGTATGAAAATCAGCAGGTGGTAAGGGTCCCTATCTTATTTTCATGCACTATGGATATATCTCTTGGAGCTTGCAGTACCCTTTTCAAAACTCAGCTGTCATACGGAGCTCATTTGCTACTTAAACCATAGACAAATATTTAACATAAGTGATATAATGACCTTCAGTATTTTTCTATTGAACAAATTTAGCAACTTTTTGCCATTAAACAGATAATTAGTTATGCAAAATATTTAGCTTTTATAATAATTTTAGTTATGACTAAAAGGGGGAAATTGAGCTGCATCACTGATAATGAACTTTGTGAGAAATTTTTTGTTTATCTAACTTTCATTCCTTCAGTATTCTTGCTATAAATTTGTTTTGGAAATAATGATGAAGATTTATTTGAAAATATCTAAAATGTATGTATATTTTATAAATATATATTATATATATCACAAGAATATATATAATATATAGACTATATATATCTAAACCATCGGTGCATTTTACTGTTTTGTATTTTCATTTTTGGAGGTAGTGTACACAGCAGATGAGTATGAATGTTGTGCTGTTTGCTTTTGCAGTATAATAATATATAGTTCTAAATGTTTAAATTACTGTATATACTATATTCATTATAGGCTAGCATGCTTGTTTTAAAGATTGTTATTCTAGTTTATTAAAATCTGAATGTAAGAAAACCTGGCTATTCAAATGTGAATTGAAAAATATTCCATTCTCAGTACTGAACTATTTCCATTGAACATTCAGGCTTTGTAACAAAATAGATATCATCCAGAAGGCAATAGCTAGAAAATGAGAGGTGCCTTTTAAAAAAAAAATACAAATGCAGCCTTACAGTGAGGATGAAGATTGAATTTGTGAAGGGGAGGGAGGGAGAATAGTGAGAGAGAGAATGTGTGTGTTTGTGTGTGTGTGTGTGTGTGTATGTATATGTGTGTGTGTGTATGTGTTGCCAATCTGTGAAGGTCCTGATTTGTGGCCATCAATGTGTTTTTAATGTATCTGCTCAACCTCTAGGACTTCAGGGGCATTTCATGCTCTATTTTGTGCTCTTCAGGGCACCACATGTACGTTTCAAGAGTTTTGAATGTGAATTCCTAAAAATTTCAGTAGGGAATAAATACCTATTCTTTAATCATAGCCAAATTCAGATAAAAGGAGAAATTATTGGTTCACCAAAATTGTGGGATGTCATTAACGTAATATTTTAATACTTCATATGTTTTCCCCTTTACACAAGAGCATGTCATGTAGTTCTTATATGCTGAAGATTTAATTAGGAAAAATTATTTCTAGGTTAAATACCTGAGCTAGTTAAGTATTTAAATGGCATCTCTCATATCTACCTCGTTGTCATTGCTGCCATTTTAACTAAAGCAAATCTTTGTAACATCTGAAGTGATAGTTGGATGCAATTTAAAAATCTGTGTTGGTGCTTTTCTCAAGCTTTGTCATTTAACTTGTTTTGTCACAAATCAGATTGAAAGGTTTAGGATTAATTCTACTTTTCTTTTGAAAGAATGGCTTATAATTAGCCATCATTGTTGCTAATGAGTGGAAATGGTTAATCTCTGGTTGATGTGTATCTGTGATGCTTTCAACCAAAAGACAAATTGTTACTGAATTTACCAGAAAAAAAAGAGTTCTAATTATAATTTTATTCAGCTTACTTTTTCTTTGAAAGCTATTTCCACACTATTAAGTAAATAATCATTCATTTTACTTGTTCAGAAGTTGCCTCCCTTACTATGTTACTTATTTATATAATTGTAGTACTTAAGTGTTTGACACTGGGATTCTAGTTGTACAAAAGTAGTAGCTGACTGAAATATGTATATTTTTGTGAAATGTACCAATTCTTAAAGTCCATTTTAGGGGAAGGTCCAGAAAATTAACATATCTGTGTTTACCAGGTCATGGTAAATAATTGACTCAATTTTGCTTTTGCCACTAAATGCCATCACCCAGCTGGATCTCTTATCAGTATAAGGGATTCCAGGCTGACAAAGTACTTAAAAGGTCCTTTATATCAGTTTTATTTTTATTATTTTTAATTTGAAAAAAAGCAAATGTTAGACCAAAAGAGATCCTTAGGTCACTCTCACTTATTCTACCAGTATTTCTGAAGTGGTACTTAGGGATCAGAATTTTCTGGATCTTTGCTAGTCAGGCTTTAGATTTTATTTAACTGGGACCACACTTGTCATCCCTCTGATGCAAATTAGAAGATTCATTTTAATTTAGATTAACTCTAATGTCTGCCTGGGTTTTTAACAGGCTGTGAACCAGTGAGTGCCTTGTTAATGTAGAATGATTTTTCCCCCCTGTTGTGCATTAGCTCTCTCTGAAAATGTCTCAGAGAATGGTATTTTAATTGACTTATAGAGAGCTGCTAAGTTTAGTATTATCAGTATCAGAAAGTCTTTGGTCTACCACGTACTTTCTCTTCATTGTTTGGCTGAAGGTGGCCTCTTGTGAAAAAAAGATATATAACCCCATCTCCACATACTTTCTCAGTCCAGATTAAGATATCCCCTATCCACTCACCCCCCAACTATGTGATCTTATACCTGTTTTTAGGAGGAACCACTTTATAATACTAAAATTTACTGGTTATTTTATGTCCTCTCAAGGTCAGTTTACTAGAGCGGTTCTCAGGGTATCATCAGTTCAGATTCCTAAATAACCCTTTCTCTCCATGCCCCACCCCCCAGCTGGTGAGCCCTGTGCCAGATTGTTCGATCTTCAGGTAATTTAAATTTTAGCTGTATCAATTAATGTAAATCCGAATGCTAATTTTTGTGGTGCAAGAAGTTTCTTTTGTAAATTCAGGGTATGGATAAGCTAATTAAGATATCCAATTTTGGTGGCTCTAAGTGTGTTATTTGTTTTTAAATAAAGTATACAAATATAGATAATGTGCTATAGGTGTCTCATGAATTGCAGTATTTGTCAGATTTGGAAGCTAGCTGTGACTTTGCAGTATAAGTCAGCTAAAATAATACAGACTTATTTGGGGTTTTCGTTGGAGGGGTAATAGAGGGGTGAAAAGCTAAAGGATATTAGACAAAGTGGATATGAGTCCAAAGTAATGAAACAATGTTGATTGTGAAGAAGGTAGAAAAGTTTATTACAACAAAGGATTTGGGCCTTTGGAAAGCCAGTAAAATTAAAATACCTCATAAGACTGGATCAGTGCTATTTTCAGGGACATATGCATGTTTAACAAATTTCCTATTTTTCAATAGTTCAATTAAATAATTTTTAAAAATTGTAACACATATGTAATAAATTTAATATGCTTTTATTTTTTC